TGTCTTGTCTCGACCATGATGATCAACTTTTTCATGACACTCTTTGATTTTTGTATACAAGTTTTCGTATGTGACAATAGGATGAGGGGCGTCTCCGATGGTGAATATAAATGGATTCTTCATACAAAGGATCATTTCACAGAATTTTCCTGGGCGTATCCTCTAAAGACCACGGAAACTCAATATATTGCTGAAAAACTTCTACAACAATTTTATTTGTTTGGAACACCACGAATTTTACAACGCAATAATGGCAAAGAATTTGTGGCAAAAGTAATAAGGGTATTAATTCTGTCTTACTGTTTATTTTCTACTATTTAATAGCTTGCTTTAATTGAAATAGGATTTGAAAAACACATGGCCTGATCTAATCATTATCAATGGTCGATCCAATCATCCTCAAATGCAAGGATCGGTCGAGTGTGGCAACCAAACACTTGAATCAGCAGTAGGTAAATGGATACAAACGAACAACTGTAAAGATTGGTGGAAAGGTAACGGATCAATAGATTAATAACTATTTGTCAAAGGATGCTGAATTTAGGTTTGGCACAAGTGATTTATTCGATTAATACGCGATCGACTCGGTCAATCCATAAGTCACCTTATGAGGCAGTATTCGGCCGGAAACCAATATCTGATAACCGATTACGACCAGTTTTATTAGACCAAGATGTTTTGAATGAAGAAGATCTTCCGCATGAGTTTAGTGATGGACTATTAGAATATGATAATCCAGCGACTGCTGTGAAAGTTGCAACTTCTGATACCAATAAAACATTAGCTTGCATGGATGAAGCACTTGCAACAGCATCAAACATATCTCTATCAACAGCATCATTATCTGCATGTCATGCATCTCCTCATACGAAAAAACGACAACGAACCAAACAGTTTTCGAACGATCAAATTGGATCTCTGGACAAAGGTAAGATGATTGCCTACACTCGTCTAACAGAAAGTGCCATGTCATCATTTCTTTAGACGAAATATCTAATACTAATGATGTTCGTTCAGCCAGTAATCATAAACAAATACGATTCGATACTAGAATCTCCTACATACCTGACACTAGGAAACGACGGCGATTATTAATTGAAAACAGACCGGCTAATATCTTGCCGAAGAAGGCAAGTTGAATCTGCTAGTCTCAAGTTTTGCTTTTCAGCAATCGACTAAGTCGAAAACTAAATAACTTATAAAAAATAAATTGATGTTCATGAATTAACTAAATTCAAGAAAACAGAGTTAATGTCTTAGCTACTACGATGCGTTTCGATCCCATAAAACAGCTCATCAGATTGTGGGTGGTGTGGGTGTGTTTGCAAGAGTAATTACAAGCTACTTACGACGATCGTTCCGTTCTTGTGCAAAGGAACTGGTCAGGTAAATGTGGATTTAAGGCCAATTGCACTATACTGTCAATAACTCAAATTCAAGTATGAACAACCATTACCGGTTTCACTATTGTGTGACAATAGTACATGATGAGATGGTTGAATTTCATCCGAGAACGAATAACTGCTCTGTTATTGCCTGAAGGTAATACTGTGAGACTAGTCAAACTTAAATGTTAAAGTATGAGCTCCCACGAGCTGTTTCGACTGAAATGGGCGGTAAATGTATGCAATTTTTTTAGAAGATAAGAGTTGGAAAGCATTACACGGCGCCTTTCAATTGCTGCTTACACAATCTTTATCAGGGATGTTTACAAACTATTATTTTATGAATTCTATACCCTCCTAATCGGAAGAAGTAAAGAATTAATGGTAATAAATCTAATTAATTATAAAAGATTTTGAGATTGAGAGCATCATACGACTAGTTTTCATTTTCCAGAGATATCGATTCACTATTTTGAGAAGGGCTTTCATGGAACAAATATATACAGTGTTGTGTCTAATAGAGTTTTTCGAATTATTATGGAAGTTATTGAATCAACCAAGTCTCTTACGTTAGTACTTGTTAAAATTTCAAATCGTGGCTTTGAAATGTTGTCGTGGATCTCTTAATATTCCGCTTTTTGTAGTAGAATTGTACGTTTTGACTAATGTTAAGTTTTATGTCTGTGAAATCGGATGTTCTTGTCCCCTTGGGGAACTCCATTCGCCGCACCCACACCTGGTGCGATGATGTGAGAGTGGGAGATTGTTTGCTTGGGGGTGTTTTCAGATGCTTTCGGTATGGAAATGAAAATGAAAAAGTTGAACCTACAACTGACGACACAAGTGTTGGAGTTATTTCTTTTAACTTTGGGTTATTTATATATATACTATGAGCTTTTACAAAAGTGATCTTATAAAATACGCGAAGTGAGAGTGATGAATGTTGTCAGCCTCACTTGAAACTCTCATAAGAGGGTATAGTTAGATAGAGTTTTAGAATGAATCTTTCATGGCATTGGACATAGTTATATGAGAATTTATAGTCAAGTAGCTGGCAAGACCGGTTTCGACAAGTGTTCAAAATGAACTTATCAATTGCTTATGTTTGACTAAAAGAGGATGGGTGTGGGTGTGAGTGTGTATTATCTTTAAGAAGACCTACGACTATAGTTTCGACCTTTCTCAGGGGTCAATCCTCAGGTAGTTTGAGCACTGCATTATAAAGATATAGACTTTTTAGATTGAGAGCACCACACGACTAGTTTCGTCCTTGCTTAAGGGACTCTACGGGCATGTTTACAACCTATAAGTGCATGTATCTAACACTCTCCAAATTCTGAAGAAGTGATAGACAAATGCGTACTAAATCCAAATAACAAAGTAATTCATTATTATTACGATATTTTAGATTGAGAGCATCACATGACTTGTTTCGTCCTTGCTTAAGTCACTCTACGGGCATGTTATTTTATTATAAAACATTTTTTGAGATTGTGAGCATCACACGGAGCGTTTCGACCTTGTTTAAGGGTCTCATCAGATGGTAAATAATTCTTCTATGATTACTTAAATTCAATGAAGAATCACAAAAATTTTTTGCCATCTGATGAGATCCTTAAGCAAGATCGAAACGCGCCATGGTAGCTTGTGACACCCTCACACCCCACACCCTCATCCTTACCCTTCTTGTTTTCTCTTTATTAAAGTATGTCTATAGTTATCATTCCATGTATAAAAAGAAATAAGAAACCAGAAGGAAACCAAGGATTTACGTCTAAAAACGATCGATTATTTATAAAATGAGATAGGATCTTTCAATAAACACATTGTCTCATCGAAGAAAATTCAGCTTAATCGCTTCATACGTTATAAATTATTATGTCTAGTTTATCCCTGAACTCATTTTCCACATTTTTTGGAATAATGATGTAAAATATTTCGTTTAAATTGAATCCATTGTGACATATTCAAAAATGAATATACATATGAATAAATTTACTAGTAGATTACAAAAAAAAATACCCAATGAAGTCCATTAATGAGATCGAAATACATAGTGTCATGTTTTTTAAATTTTCTGTATTCGTTTATAGGGTATTGATAGTTGTCATGTTTTGACGTCTATTGCAATTTATATTATTAGACTGAAATCGTTTATAATTTAACGTCACCACCTTCTATAGGTTTGGGAGTGACTTTCGAAGACCTTGACGGAGTTTTAGTATTAGAAGAAGGCAGGTTTGTAGGTGGTGCATTTGAGTTATTCATTTTCGGATTTGTGTCGGATTTGGTTACTAATCCATCATTCTTCCTTTCAGGTAGAACCATGTAAAGCACTATTCCAAAGATTCCTAATGAAATACCAAGAACAAGTACGTAAACTGTTAATGGTGAATATGACCATTTGAATTCTAACGAAATGATAATACCAACCGTCCCGGATGCAAACAATATCACCGAAATAACTAGCGTGATCACAGATTTGCCAAGATAAACAATTATAGCCAAAACTGTTGTAAATAGACCCATGAGACCAGTACACACACCCAGTTGATCGAGAATACTTTTAGTTGTTTGAAGATTGATTACCCACCCAAAGCACCACGCAATTTGATTAGTTATATTTCCGGGAAATACAGCTTCACTGGAAGGATTACAATGGAACCTTATTCTATGAGTCCTGTTACTAACGAAACAATCCATTGGATAATCGGGGCATTCATCGTTTGGAAAAAGTCTAGCACTGGCTAGAAAGCATCCTTGAAAAAATGTCATACCCGTAAAAGAAAGTATCATTGCAGCAAGAGCAGCGAATGACCAGGCAACCCATCGCACGTGAACTTTCTTTGTCAGAGTAACAATTTGAATGCCCTGATCTTTCCCAACACCATCGTCTTCACCAACTGCTTCCTGTGTTTCAATACCTATGATCCGTCGGCTGACAAATTCTTTACCTCTTTCTAAACGATAGATTACTAATACGCCCATTGCTATAACAAAGAGAATACCAGCCGAAATCAAAGCGTCAGCTTCAACATATGACGGGTAACTCCATGCCATTTACTTTTCTGTTATAATCGATAAGTTATGATGTGTACGAAATTTCCGTTTTCGAGAATTTGATTGCACCAGCAACGCAGTACCACGTAGTTTAAAATGAAAAAGAAACTTTTTGGACTTATATCATATATATATTACGAAAAAAAAAATAATGAGCTGGGCAATGGGATACTTCTTGATAGCACGTGTTATGATAAATTTACATTTTGTATATGACAACCTGGTTAAAACGAGAGATAAGGTTATCTTTTTTTTCTGTTTTGAAAGAAGACTTTTCACATGAAAAATTTTCTCGGCAGATCATTCATATAAAAGAAAACATCCATATAAAATGTCAACCATTTGGATTAGAAGACGAGAGAAAACGATTCATTCAAATAAAGGGTGTAAGTCAATGGGAAACAGACCAACCTATCTCTTAACGAAAGACAAACCAATCTGCTACTCTCAAGCGCGTGTTTTCAGTAAAATAGGAGATAAGATTTTAAAGTAATAATAAATATATAGTTGAAATTCAAAGCATCACACAACGTTTCGGCCTTGCTGGGTGTGGTGGGGTGTGGGTGTGATAGTTACCACGAATACTGAGTATTAGTTACCACGATAACTTGAAGTTATTTCGATATTTCTGACTCAATCTTATCAAGTGGCCTAAGTATCAGTATAAGAGATTAAAACTTAATAAAAAGTTGAAATCAATACATAATACTTTA